TAATCACCTCAAATTCATCCTGTCAAAACTGAAATGATAATTTCCCATTTAGACATACCCATTTTGGTTCATTTGTTTTCACTTATGTAAGGTGAATCATTGTTAAAACAAACAAATGCCTGAGTAGATACAATAAAGTCCAATATGGGTCAGTAGTGAGCTTTTTTTTCCTAGAGTCATTCAGGGATGCAGACTCCTTCTGTCAAATGTTATGCCCTCCCCTGGGGTCTTGGAGTACTCCTTAGAACTCTATGCATACAAAGGAGTGACAGGAATAACTGCAAGATTGCAGAGGTTTTTATGAGTCAGAACCAGAGATAACAAATAATAATTCTAACTATATTCCACTGGTCAGTATAAAGTCCTAAGGCCTCCTTAACTGCAACAAGGGTAGAAAATGTAGTCTATCCACAAGCCTGGGGAAAAAAGCAATGGGATATGCTGAATACACAGCATTATCTCTGCATGCCAAATTGTTTCTTCCTCCTTTATTTCCTAAATAAATCTCAAATCTGTTACCTCCTCTATTTTTTTTTAAGATTTTATTTATTTGACAGAGAGAGACAAAGAGAGAGAGGGAACACCAAGGGAGTTGGAGAGGGAGAAGCAGGCCTCCTGCTGAGCAGTGAGCCTGATGCGGGGTTCAATCCCAGGACCCCGGGATCATGACCTGAGCCAAAGGCAGATGCTTAACTACTGAGCCACCCAGGCATCCCTACCTCCTCTATTCTTAACTCAACTAAATCCATTCTCATGGGTCAGGTCTCATCACTTCTCAAAAGAACCACTGCAATAACCTCCAAACTACCTCTGGCTCAACCCTTCCTATCTATCATCTACACCGCTGCAGGCATAATCAAAGTAAAATGAAAATTTTATCTGTAAAATTCCCCTGATAAAATCCTTTCAGTGACTTCCTATCATGTACAGGGTAGAAATAGAAACATCAGAGAATGGAAAAATAATCCTCCTGACTTGACATCTGCCTATTTCACCAGCCTCAATTCTGGATAAACATTTTCACTTTGTGCTATGTTTTTCACTTCTGCCAACCTGAATATACTCCATTCAGTGGCTGCTCATTCAGTTTCCTAATCTGGAACACTTTTCATCTCCCTGCTCCACAACCCCTTAGGATGAATTAGCTGCCTCTCATCAAAACTTATGTAATCTCTGGTACCTTTATTAATTAGTAACTTACTTCATTGTACACAACACTCTGTGCACGTGCCTAAATAATTCACTGAACTGTGAGATCCTTGAAAACAGGGGCTGTGCCTTACTCACTTGCCACTCCCAGTTCTCATAGCTACTTGGCACGTAGTAATCATCTATAAATATGTGTCAAATGAGTAAACTGTTCCTAAGCAAAAACCTACCTTGAAACTCATTCCTTTGCCTGTTTTCCCTGTACTCTATTTTGCCATTCACTTCCATCACCTTTTCCTAGTCTACCAGCTGGAATTTAGTTTTGTATAGGCTGATAACAAAATGATAATCATTGCTTTGTTAAATTGCCCACTTTGTATGCTGCCCATGTGATTGAATACCCTGGCACCTCATGAGCTTCCTATGACACTTTGGGCACTATGTTATAAGCCCAGAGAAGCCCATCTAAGCTTTCTGGAATTAGTCTCTTAAACCAAGTCAGTTTCTCAAAACCCATAACTATCTTGTACAATAGATTCCTGCTTGTAACCTCAGCTACAACTCTGCTCATTCAAGTAACTAATAATGTCTCACAACCAAGGCTGTTTCATATTCTAACAATAGACACTTAGAAGTTGGGCACTTCTACCACACAGTGGGATCAAGAGTGTAACCATGATAATAGTACAAAACAATACAAAGAAATTCAATTGGAACAACAGAAGAATTTAGGCAGCAATCTAAATGGAATTTCCTGTTTTTCTCTGAATTCTAAAATCATTGGTGCCAATTGTGAACTGTATTTTAAAAAGCAGCCCAACATTGAGTGGAAAGTGCCCTCAATCTTCCCCCATCAAGTTTTGGTCCCACTTCAAATATGGTAGAGCCAAGCCTTCTTCTTCCAATATATTGATTGATAACTTTCAAATGATGATTTGGGACCAAGTACATTAGTTGTACTTGTGCCTCACAAAGAGTACATCAATTTTCATTAATTAGTGCCATTGAATTAAGTTAAATTATGGGGTAAATGAGACAAATGCATAGCTTAAAATGCCTGGAGGTTTAAACAAGTATTGTTTAGAGATTAAGTATCCAGAAATTTTGAATTTGAGATATAACTTGGTACCTTTTCCTAATATGTAAAGGGAGAATAAAAAAGTATTAAGATATCTAAATTTAGGGATACTTTGGGAAACTATTATTTATTTTGTGGTTTACTTTTAAGGAGACATTCATACAGTTTATTTGAGGGTTGTTTTTTTTTTTTCTAATATTCAAAAACCCAGGGGGGCCTGGGTGGTTCAGTTGGCTGATCGTCCCACTCTTAGTTTCGGCTCAGGTCATGATCTCAGGGTGGTGAGATCAAGCCCCTTGTTGGGCTCTGTGCACAGTGTGGAGTCTGTTTGAGATTCTCTCCCTCTCCCTCTACCCCTCTCCCTGCTTGCACGCACATTCTCTCTTTCTCAAATAAATAAATCTTTTACAAAACCCACAAAATTACATATATATGTGTATATACATATACATGTATATACACACACACATACACATATACATAACTTCACATATGTCTTTGGAGACTTGAAAAATATATTTCTTTAATCCTACTTGATTACTTAAGAATAAATATAATACAAAGATTATACTATTCTTTTTCAGATAATGAATTTAATAATTCAATATTTTGGGGGCACCTGGGTGTCTCAGTTGGTTAACTATCTGACTCTTGATTTCAGCTCAGGTCATGAGCTCAGGGTCATGGGATCGAGCCCCTCGTTGGGAATCTGTGCTCTGCAGGGAGTTTGCTTGGGGTTTTCTCTTTCCCTCTGCCCACACCTCACCCCCCACCACTTTCTCTCTCTCTCTTTCTCTGTAAAAATAAATAAATCTTTAAAAAAAGTAATTCAATATTTAGTCAAATATAATAAATACAACTCTACACTTTGACAGTGTTTTCTTCAACTTAAAAAGAAATAGTCTATTTCTCAGGCTATGCATTATATTTTGATTCTAATGTTGTCAATTCATATTCTGTCAATTATTCTTATAAATACCAGTTTTTTGGGATTTATAAATAGATCATTTAAAACCAAAATAAACCAAGAACATTAATTCTGTCCTGTACTTTATACTAAAGATAAATAATCATTCCTGAGTTAGCTCAGAAAAATAGAATATAAGAGAAAGTATACTGTTTGTTTCTACAGTAGAAGATCTTAATGATAATTCTGTATGTTAGGAAATGATTTTACTATGTCTGTGTTTTTAAATCTCAAATTATCCTAAGAGTTCAGAAAATGTCCCATCGTTGTTTATTTCTGTATCCTTTAAATACACACACACAACAAATTATTCAAGGCATTTGCTCAGAACTCAAAACATATACTCATGCAAATTATAAATTGTTCCAGATTGCCCAACACAAGAACATTTTACCCATGCAATAAATACACTAAAATTAGTGGAGGACCATAGAGCCTCTTTGAGCTCTGAGGGTTCTTGGGAAGCAGAGGGAAGGTGGAAGGAGTGCTAAACCTCCAGACATTTTATCCTGAAGATGAGGATGGAGAGGGGAAAGGAAGACCCGAGAGTGTCCAGTTCTTCCATAACAAGAAAAAGGAGTATGTTTTTTGGTTTTTTTTTTAAAGGGAGTATCAAAGAATTGTGAGCATTATTATTATTTTCACAAACATTAAATGCTTACCTACAAAGCTTCATACATTCTTCACAGTGTAGTTCAGGTGTTGTCTTCTCTGTCAAAAGCTTCCCAGAAGTCCCAGCTGAGGGTGAACTGATATTGCTCTCCCGTGTATTTCTATGATAATATTTGATGAACATGCTCCGTTAGAGCACTTATCACAAAATTCCATGAAATCTCTCTGTCCTCATATATTCTGGGATCCTTGAGAGCAGAGACTGTTCCTTTTGCACCCTTCCATGCCCCCCGCTAGTGGCACCACCACTCTTTCAGCATGTAACACATGACAGGCATGAATGCGTGTGACACAATTCGAGAACATTAAATGTATGTCAGGCTGAGCAGCTTAATCGTGGACTGTGGACAATGGGGAGCCACAAGCCCTGTGTCACAAATTGAAATTCCTAGTAGGTTCCCAAGAAAGTGACAAAATGTAACAGGAAGAAAAGAAAATTTTTTCTAGTGTTAAAAATAAGCTATAATATAATCTCTAAGGTTGATGACAAACCCTAATCAATAGTTGGTCATAGTATCAGGGAGACAAGAGAGAATGATGTGTACTGTGGGAAATACATTGCCTGGCTCAGATCTCTGCCTCTCTTTCAATCTGTTGTGGCAACAAGGAAATCTGGTTGCATATTTTTAGATGATACTAATTTTTAAGAAAAGCCAGAAATCGGGTATTTACATGACATATTGCAGTTCTAACATGTTGGCTTTAAATATATATATGAACCAAGCACAACACACTTAGAGTTTGAAACAGAGGCCATTAGAGTTTTAATGCCCTCTGAATTGCTCTTTGCAAGACTGACAGAGCTCAATCAGTATTTTAGGAAGTTTTCATTTCATACCAGGCTGTTTAAATATTCCATACTGATGCACAAGCACATTCAACTCCAATTCCCAAGGCGCATGGTGACAGTGGCTTCCATTTCCTGTATTTGACTCTCCTGGGTGAGCACTTCAATGGTACAGCCAAGTCAGTTCCAATATCAGGACCTCTACATTTCAAACGTTATTGGTTTTCTCCCCTTTACTTTTATCACTGCTATTGAGTTACTGTTTCTTACTACATTTCCCATAATTCTTCACTATGTTCATTTCACCCAGCCAGCTCTTTTTTTCACCCTCCCTAGAATCTGACAGGCCACAGAAATATCTGATTTCAAAGAGATGCTCGCATTCTATACTGATCCCATCTAGGAGTGTAAATGCCCAATGTCACGCTGCCGAGTGGAAAAAGGTAAGAAAAATCGCTACTGGTCTTTGTATTCCTCTAATCTTTTAAAATCTTTTGAAGAAACAGAAATGTTCTATTTTTCAACCACTGTCTTAGTTACTTTTTTTTTTTTCTCCATCTGTGCAAACCAGAATGCAATAAAATGTTTGAATGATAGAACTGGAATGTGTACTCAAAATGTGACACCAATAAGATTGCAAGGAATATTGAAGGAAGTCTTCGATAAGCCTGACAATGATTCTGACTCCAACAGCATGAATTTGAATATAAATCTTGCACAAATAAATGAACTACTAAGAAAAAATTAATCTGCTATCCTGCTAGATTGATATAACAGTATAGCAATGCAAAGACAAATAGATTCATTTAAATTAAGCTAGAGCCTTGATTATTTTTTTCACAACTATCAGAAAACACATATTAAGTTCCTACTCTCAAATAATTTCATGATATGATTGTTTTTCACATTTTGCAAAAAAGGAATCAACATTTAAGACAAGAAAAAGTCCAAAGAAAAATTTGAATTGGCTAAAGCAAAATTTAGTTACTCTGGTAGTAACAGGATTTTTTTTTAACTGCATGTGAGTGTATTTTCCAACGAGTGTAGATTATAGTTCTGTATTAAATATATGCATCTTGATTTTTTTACTGCTTGGGATTGATACAAAACTGGTATATTAAAATATGCCATGTATGTGGTCAAACCAGTTGCAAATCATTAAACCATTATTTAGTAATTAGCAGTGTTCTTATAAAAAGAATGAGATACATGCATCATTTATTTTCAATACAGCTTTACATAATTAGAGTAATAGGCAATTTGATCTATTAAACTACTAATTAAATACAAAATATTTAATATGTACCAGAGAGTTGTGCTCTGAAATTGCACAATTATCCATTGTGTGGTTATTTCCTTCATTGACCCTTCCTCCAAAGCATGGGGGAGTAATCCATAAAATACTTTCAGGGAAAAAGGGAGTATTAAGATACAATGAGAGTCACAAAGAAGTCCTGAGTTGGTCAATAGTGTTACACTTCTCCAGGCAAGTAGAAAAATCTGATTTGTGTTCTACCTCCTTCCCAAGCCCTTTCTTTGTGCCTTTGAATGTGGTGTAATGAATAAGATGGCCCCAAACAGTCAGAAAAAGGAAAAGGGGAGCAATTGAGGTGTCTAGATTATTGAAAAACTGGAATTTTTTTCCAGTTCTATTGAGAAATAATTGACATATATCACATCACTTATGAGCTTAAGGCATACAACATGATGATTTGATTTACACGTATTGTGACGTGGTTACCACAATAGGTTCAGCCTACATACATTTTCTCATTTCAATACAGTAAAAAGAAAAGAGAGAAGTAAATAATAAAGGGAAAAAATGATCTCCTGGTGATGAGAACTCTTAGGATCTACTCTCTTAACAACTTTCCTGTCATATATAGCATGGTTAGCTGTAGTCATCATGTTGAACATCATATCCCTAGTACTTTTATATAGAGCATTTCTAAAAAAACAAGAGGTGTTTTTTCAATCTTTAATTAGGGAGTCTTTCTTTATGAAGATTCCTATCCCTGGCGAGAGGTCAAAGTCATATATTCTTATTATTCTTCTCTAATTTAGCTTCAATGTGCTATCAGATGAAATCTTATCACTTTATTCAGAATTTATCACTTTATTCTACTCAAGAATCTAGCACTGTCTACAATATCAAATCCAGCCTCATACATTACTCAAGTCCTTCCTATATATCAGCTCTTGCTAATTTTAGAATAATAATAATGAGGATGAAAACAAGAAAAGCTAATATTTTGTGTGAGTTACATTATCTCATTTAATTGTTTGAGGTAAAAAAAATGGGGAAACTGAGGGGCTTCTGGGTGGCTCAGTTGGTTAGGTGTCCAACTCTTGATTTCTGCTTAGGTCATGATCTCAGGCTTGTGAGATTGAGCCCCAGGTTCAAGTGGAGCCCACTTAAGATTTTTTCTCTCCCTGTCCCGCTGTCCCTTCCCCCACTCACATGTGTTTGCTCTCTCTCTCTCAAATAAAAAATAAATAAAATCTTTTTAAAAAAGTAAAAAATAAAAAAAATGGGAAACAGATTGTGAGAGGCAACTCAACTTAGCTTGAGTCTTAAAGTTTCTACGTTGCAAAGCTAAGCCAAATCCAAGGTGATGTGATTCAGAACCAGTGTTCTTGTCCATCCACTATCTGCTACAAACTTCACAGTATCCCAGCACTCCTCAAGTCTCCTCTGAACCTTCTCTAAATGAATCAGACCAGACTCTTCCATGTTCTTAGTATTGACTTATTCTTTTCTCCATGCCTTAGTTCATGTTGTTTCCTCTCTGTATGTACTTTGTCACTTAGCCAAATATTCCTCCTCTTTCAAGGTGTGAGTCACATGCCTTCTCCTCCACAGCTATTCCACCCAAATGCATACCTTAGATCTAAATCCATTCCTATTCCCATAGTGTCTAGTGTAGAGATACAAAGGTGATTATCTCTCAATAAATGTATTTCCTGAAAGCATTAATAGTAAAGACATAAATAATCCATTATAAAACAAAGAATGTTGTCATGCACATTTGATTCCTTGTTACAAAAGAGAGGTTTGCTGCCAGACATATTTCCTGTGCCAGATTTTCCATCATCAACAAAATTTACAAAAAGATTTTCATTCATTTTCTGACTGTCCTTGGCCTGTGTCCAATTTTTTTTTTCTTAAGAGCTTCCGAATTTAGTTTTAACTTCAAGTACTGCTGCCGAATACAGTAGTAAAGAGCCAGAGTAGGGATTTTCCTTGCAGAGAAATGGGATCCATTTTAACCAGGAGGCAAAAGAGGGAACTGTGTTGAAGTTGCACCTGTTATGTTACCAGAAATGGCAGACTCCATTCCTCTTCTGGCTTTTCCTTCCTAGTAATCCTGCTCCCTTTACCATCAGACTTAGGTGCATTAACACTTCTGGGGCAAGTCCTGGCATGGCCATGATAATAAAAAAGAGAGCTCTTCTTGAGAAGGTGGTGGATTCACTAAGCTCCAGTCAAGTTGATTTCATGTTATTCTGAAAATCCTACCCTTGTGATGCCCGAACTCCTTTTTGTACCTCTGATGTGTTATTGGCAGGATGTGTCTGACCGCCAAATTGTCAGGCTAGTGGGGGTTGCTCTGGACCCCATGCTGGTGTGACTAAGTAGCACGTTGCTGTTTCTTTATGTTACACAACATCAGTAATCATTTCAAGGATGTCAATTTAGATTCATTGCATAATTGTACTTCTAGAAAAGGCAGTATGGTATAGTGATTGAATGGACTCTGGAGCCAGACTACTTAGGGTCAAGTCCCAGATTTGATACTTACAAACTGTATAACCTTGGACAACTTATTTAACCTCTTAATACTCACTTTTTTTCAGTTGTAACACAGGGATTATGAGAGGTCCTACTTCATAGGGTTTTCGTGAGGATTAAAATGAGTTAATATTTGTTAAGCATGTAAAGCAATGATCACACCAAAGAGTATTAGCTATTGGGCGCCTGGGTGGCTCAGTTGGTTAAGTATCTGCCTTTAGCTCGGGTCATGATCCCAGGGTCCTGGGATCCAGCCCTGCATCGGGCTCCCTGCTCAGCAGGTAGCCTGCTTCTCCCTCCTGTGTACTCTCTCATCTCTGTCTCTCTCTCTCAAATAAATAAATATTTTTTTTTAAAAAAGTGTTAAGCTATAACTTTAATCTTTGTTGAGTATGTGAATAAATAAAAGATAAATTTATTGTGTAATACAATTTTTTACTTCTTTCCTTCCTTCTCAAGACCCAAACTCCTTGAAAGCAGAGAGCAGGTATTACTCATCTTTGTATATCTGCAGCATTTCCCAGGAGGATGGTACATTGTATGTGTCAACGACTATTTGCTAAGTGGATGAGAGCTGTGGTAATTAGAGAGAAGGGTAAAGTGAAGTAGAGTGTAAGGGTGTAATAGTCCAAAATGTTTAGGAGTATGGAGACTATTATACTGGTAGGCTTCTCCCCATCAGGGTTGAAGTCACACCCAAAGTGATGGAAGTCATTAAAGTGGAGAGAGGAATTGTTGAGACAGATGTCACAGGTCTCAGAAGAGAAAAAGTATGAACCAAAAACATAAGAAGGCATGGGCGTGGAGATGAGATTTGACTGTGGGCACAAAGTACGTATAAAGCATTTTCCATGAAGAGGAGGTTATATTGTGAGGTGGCACTTGGGGAAAGAGGAAAGTCAATGCTACTTATAGTATATGATGTATGGAGTATCCATTTACGATGACTGCCCTATCTCTTTTTAAACATCCTAAAGTAATTTTCAAAACAGAGCTCTTGATTTCTTTCATTTCCTACCACCAAATACGCACATATTAATAACAACTATGTTATGGGCTGAGTTACATCCCCTAAAAATTTGTATGTTGAAGTCCTAACTCCCGGTACCTCAAAATGTAATTACATTTGGAGATATGGTCTTTAAAGAGATAATAAAATTAAAATCATCATTAAGGTGGGCCCCAGTCCCATATGACTGATGTCCTCATAAGAAAAAAAGAAACTTGGTCACAGACAGGTTTAGTTGGAAGACCGAAGACCCGGGGAGAAGATGACCATCTTTGAGCCAAGGAGAGAGGCCTCAGAAGAAACAAACCTTGCTAAAACCTCAGTCTCAGACTTCCAGCCTCCAGAACTGTGAGACATACATTTCTTTTGTTTAAGCTACCCGGTCTGTGGTACTTTGTCATGGCAGCCCTAGCAAACTGATACAAACAGCAAAAGCAATCTATTCCTCCCCTAGTCGTCATCTTTTCGGTAGGTGTTACCATCATCCTTATAGCTGTTGAAGTAAAAAACCAAGGACTCATTTTTTTTTTTTTTAATTTTCTTTTTTCTCTTGCTGTCTGTATCCACATGTAATCCATCAGCGATTTTTTTACCTCTACTTTAAAATATGTCGCAATTTGGGCGCCTGGGTGGCTCAGTCG